GAATTGTGGTGCTGGAGGAGACTCTTGAGAGTCCCCTGGACTGCAAAGAGAACAAACCTAGCCATTCTGAAGGAAATCAACCCTGAGTGTTCACTGGAAGGACAAATGCTGAAGCTGAGGCTCCAATACTTTGGCCATCTCATGAGAAGAGAAGACTCCCGGGAAAAGCCCCTGATGTTGGGAAAGAGTGAAGAGGAGAAGGGGACGACAGAGGATGGGATAGTTGGACAATGTCATCGGAGCTACCAACATGAATTTGACCCAACTCCGGGAGGCAGTGGAAGACAGGAGGGCCTGGCGTGCTTTGGTCCATTGGGTCATGAAGAGTCTGACACGACTAAACAACAACAATGAAGAAGAAAACAACTATTGATCCAAGAAGGAAAACATGAAAATTTATAATTAGGTAATACATTTTATTGAGGCTAACTCAAATGTCTTGGTAGTTTTTTTATATTTTATTTGGTCCTAATAAAAGTACTGTATTGCCTATCAAGATTTTGAAACTGAAAGTGATTTCAAAAATATTCCTCATTTGCCACCAGGTGGTGTAGCCCATCTTGCTTATTGTAGCTTTGGTATGTAATTTAAGGAGCAATTATGTTTTGTGTTTCCCAAATCTTGATACATTTTTTCAGTGGTGACTAATTTATGTGACAGCTTTTGAGCTAATAACACTAACAACAAAAACACTATTTTGAATAATAGATATAACAGTAATAGAACAAAGAAATATTTGGATAATTGACACCACAATTCCAGTGGATACCAAAGTTGAAGATAAAGAATTGGAAAAATATAAAAAATGCAGTGATGTAATGCTACAACCTAGCAATGATATAACTAATTTGTGATTAAACACATTTCAGTGGATCCCATAGTCATCAGGGCATTAGGAACAATGCCTTGGAAATTTATAAAATACTATAGTCAGCTGCAGATCTCTGAAAAACCATTAGAGCTGCAAAAAAAACAAACAAACCAACAAACAACTCCCCCCAAAAAAACCCCCAGAAATATTAGGAACAGTATACATAGTACACCAATATTTAATTGATACTTAGGTTTTGGATTAAAACTTGTATCTGTAATTTAATACCAGTCAAAGACTGTGCGGCCTTGGATCTCCCTAAGTCCGAATTAACTTGAGGGCATGCAAAAGGCACCGCTTTTCCACTCTGAGAGAAAAGAGGCGGTAAGCCCTGTCAGAGCTGCAGCAGGCCCGCCCCGTGGGCTGGCCTCTGTCGAAGGCGGGGAGAGGATATGCTGGATTTGTCGCTGAACTGGGTGGCTGCTCTTCTCCAGGAGGAGGTCCGCCCGCGCCTCGGAGCTCTGCTCTCCTTCGGCGGAATCGCCAGCCCGCGTCTCCTCGTCCTTCCTTCTTTCCTTCCTCGCTCGCTCGCTCGGTGCTTTTGATTCCGTTCCTCTCCTGGGGCGCCAAGCGACCTCCTCACCTGTGTGTTCCAGGTAAGAGAAAGGCACGCCACCCCTGCTCCCCCTACAACTTTTCTTGGTCACGGGAGGGTTTAGGGTAACCACACGCGTCATCGCTTTCTGCTTCCATCTCCCCGACACACACACACACCTTCACTCCACCAGCCATTTCACACACATGCTCAGCTTCCATCCACCAAAATCCATCCAAGCTTCCGCCAGCTGGTTTCAGGAGGCTAACGTCCACCACCGCACACACACACACACACACAAAAGCATCAAGCAAGATTCTTGTGGAGAAGCCGGAGGAGGAGAAATACACTGTATCTCAAGCCTGCCATACGGAAGAAGGAGAGGCGGAGGTTCTCGCAAAGATAAATCTCAAATCTGAATTAGCCCCGGGAGCTGTTTTCACTCCTAAGGTGCTGAAGCTCTGAAAGCGAAGTGCTTTTGACTGCCTACAGAGCTCCTCTCCAGTCGGGCTCAGCCAGTCAGCTGCTTACCTGAGACCTGGACACAGATCTTTCAGCCCCAAATGTTTTGATTCCTCAGAGATTTGATTGCTGGGATCCCTCTCTTTAGTAATGAAAGTAAAGATAATCAGTCGCGGAATGAGAGTTAATAGGGTGCTCTTCCACCTTCTTGCTTAGTAATCCACAACCAGTAAATCAAGCAGAGTGGATCATGAAAATGCATATACTTCTTACACAGGACCGGACTGGGCTTAGTGTCTTCCTACTCCTTTTTTCTTTGTTTGGTATAGCCTATATTGCACAAAGTGGGCCAAATCTAAAAACAACATTGTTCTCTTCCTCCAAAAGAAAAAGGGTGGGGAAAGAAGTAAAGATAGCCTATTTTTAATCAATGATTGTGCTGAAAGCTTGTAGGTTGCTACTTCCAGTATTTTCCAGGACCTTTTGGATCTTTCCATTCATTAGAAAGGTGATGCAGATTTCTACCAAATAATCACACATAAAAAGTTTTAATATTTAACATTGAGGTTTTTAATTTATACAGTTGATTTATTTGTTAATGTTCTTTGTAGTGTATTAGATACATGGCTTTGCTGATGATATAGATCATTGCTAGTTGTTTGTCTATCAAAATGATCACCCTTGGTCAAACTAATTTATTTGAAATATCGTAGTTCTGTATTCTGAGCATTTCTTCTAATTGCTTTTAATGGAATGTTACCTGTTTTGCAAAACCACTTCAAAACATTACTTGTGGCATGTACAACAGCAATCCACAGTGAGCAAATTAAAGCTTATTAAACACTATGGATCTTACTTGTTATGCTTGAAGTCTTAGCAAAGTACATAAGAGTGATACTAACCTATATCAAGTGTAAAGTATAAGCTGTCTTCCTGAGATATTGGGCACCCTACTGAGCAGGTTTTCCCAAAGCTGATGTCTTCTAGATTTGTTGAACTACAACTCTATTGTCCCCACCCAGCACAATGAATGGGAAACATCTGATTTTACAAAGCTCAAAAGAAAAACAAATCAAAAAAAGCAAAACTGTAGCCAGTACTTCTAACTTAAGACTATATTTTAATGATCTATAGGTTATGTAAATAAGATGAAGTTGTTAATATTACTTTCTAATAATCAAAGTGAAAGAATTTGATGTTTTCTGGTAAGGGGTTCCAGTGGTCATGAGAAAAAGGAAAATGGAAGCCTTCAGACATGACGAATAAACATGGATTTGGGAGGTGCTAACAGTAGGAGAGGGCACTGGTTTCTGCTAATTTGCTCAGAGCAGCATAAGCAGAGTTAGCAAACAATAGTGATCTGCAGAAAAACATTTTGGCTGGAGTTTTGTAGCAGATTTTGCAAAACAATATATATATATATATATATATATATATATTAATAAATATATATATTAATATATATTAAGCAAGAATAGCCAAGTAAGAGAAAATGGAATAATGTGATCAGGACATGTTGTGGATTATTAAAATGCTGTTTGAATTGAAGGAAGAAGGGTCTAAAGGGAAATTTTTCTGCCCTTGCTTCTTCTAGTTCATTGTAAATCTTATTTAATAAAACATTGTCAGATTTACCTTTCCTCTAACAAGCTTATAGTCAGACAATAGTCATAGTGAAGATTTCACACATTTTATGTCTGCAGGCTATCTGTGTACTTATTTGCTTCTTGTATCGCTTAACATCACCAATAATGTATTTATTTAATTTTACTTAAATCATTGGTGACTCTAACAGGCATGGAGTCTCTTTTCGGAATGCTTTCCCATACTGTGAAAATAAAAGCTTCCTGAATGTGGAAAGCAAGGGCACCAGTGAACAGGTTAAACTAAAGTAAGGCCGATTGCAAGGCTGAGCACCAAAATATTTAAGATGGAGAAGCTGCCAAAATATTTAAGGCAGAGAAATCATTCCCCCCCCCCACCTAGCAAGGTGCTTAATACTCAAATTCATTAATATTATCTTGAAACATGAGGAAGAAAAATTTCATAAACACCTCGTCTTATCTCTGGCAATAAAAAAAAAACAGTAGGGGCTAGGAAAACTGATTGTTGTCTTTTTGTGACAGCCAAAATCTAGGTGTGTCTAACAGTTAAGAAAAATGAAATGTCATGTCACTCTTCTTAATAGTAGGATCTTCTCTTTGATGGGAGGAACACTGAAACAATGCAATCCTATACTTGCACAGTTTGAATTAGGACACACATGAAGGACTATTTTGTGTCTTATTTCTTCACATTTAAAGTAGCTGAAGGCCACAGTGTGGTCATTCAGTTCCAGTGGTTCCTGAACAAGTGTGATACACACGAAAGACTTTGATTTACTTTAGTGTAACTCCTTGGTTTCAGCAAGCTTTTAATGCAACTTGTTATGATTTACACTTGATTGCTATAAATGGCCATGAATCCAATTTTTGCAATCAACTTTTTATGCTGATTGTAACAAAGCCAGAGGTTCTCTGATTTAAAGTGCATTTTAATTAATTGAAAACAAACATTTGTTTTTTGCATTTTTTCAAATCTGATGTAGAACATTCTCCTTTACTTGATTGATAGTTATGTAATCCTTGCCTCTAAGCAGAAAGTAGGGAAACTGTTGGTTTTGGGATGTGCTTAGATTGTAACTTCCATTATTCTTGACCACTGAATGTACTGGCTAGGGCTGATGCGACTTATTGTTAAATGTGCACCAAAATCTAGTCATGAGCTATTTAGGAGAAATGCACACAACACATCACTTATCTATATACCAGTAATTTCTGCTTGTGGCTAAAGGTTTATTACTGATGTAGACACTGGAACATACAATGCTAGGGAAAGCGAAATGTAGTAGGGAAAGAGGAAGACCTATCACAAGATAGATTGACTCAATAATTGAAACCATGACCCTTAGTTTGCAAGGTCTGTTAATAAGACGACTTTCTGGAGATCATGCATTCATGTAGTCACCATAAGTTGGAAGTAACTTGACAGCATGCAACAACATATTTCGAGGGCTTGTGTGAATCATCTCCATTGCACTCATAACCATTGTCTCAGAAATAAAAGCAACCCAAGCCAAAATGGGATTTATGATTTTTATTTTGTTCCCAGCTCTGTGTTGGCCATGACCTCCATTGCAGCTCCTCTTGCCTGTGTGATTAGGCTGGTGTCAGGAGCAGTGCTTTGGCTGTGTCAGGGGCAAAAGTGCTTCATCTGCTTGCTGCAAGAGAAATGTGTTGACACTTTGTGAAGACTGCACCCTTTGTCTAATTTGTTCATATTAGCTGCCCTGATATACAGGAAATGCTATATATTAAATGCATTATGCATCTAATGACTCACAGTCTGAGCAGTAGTTGATTTATCTGATCAGTGCCATGTGTTTTTTTCCCTTATTTTTTAAGTTAGGACATGAATTTCATTAAAGGGCCTTCTTAGCCAGGAGGTCATTGCTTGTACAGAATCCATAATTATGTGAAAGATGTGCCTGTTTACCTCAGTCACGTACTGACATTGCACCATAGCTCAATGCTTTGCAAGCAGAGGTTCCCAGGTCCAGTTGCTCACTTCTTTAGTTAGAAGGACCAGGTAACAGTTGAGTAGAAACCTTGTTACGTAATAGTGATTATCATGTATCATCAAGTCAATTCTGACTTATGGCAACTCTTTTTCGGGGTTTTCCAGGTAGAGAATACTCAGAAGTGATCTACCATTCCTTCCTTCTGGGGCTGTGCAGCTTTCCCAAGGCCTCCCAGGCTGGTGCTACTCCCAGGAGACACAGTGGGGGATCATACTCCCATCTCTAGCTCTGCAGCTAGGTACCTAAACCGCTGAGGTATCCAGCCAATAATAATCATGTTTCTTCAAATAAATTCTGACTATGGCACCTTTTTGAAGTGTTTTCTAAGTAGAGAGTACTCAGAGGGAGATTGCCATTCCCTTCCTCCAGGGGCATCCTGGGACTATTCAACTTGCTCAAGGCCACCCAGGCTGGTTTTTCCAGGATACATAATGAGGAATTGAACTTCCAATTTCTGGCAGCCAGATACCTAACTCACTGAGCTATTGAGACAGCTGTTGCTACCTAAGACCATGGAAAGCTGTGGTAAATAACAGTAAACAATGCTAGGCTAGATGGACAAATTATCTGACCCTGTACAACAGAGCTTCCTATAAGTTGATTATTTCATGTGTGACGAGAGAGAAATAACAGACAGAAATGTCTCAGCAGGTCTGCTAGAATGCTGTCATGCACTGGATGCAGCATGGATACACTGCTGATCAATAACATTAATCTGGGATGTTGGAAGACATGATGCAGTGGCAAAAGACATGAATATTCTATATCTGATTGTTTTGGCTAGTAGCCATTAGTGATGAGCAACAGTCAATATTGCCTGGCTTGCACAGAGAGTCATTCTTGCATTGATATCTCTCTAAATAACAGAAGCCAGTTATAAGTGTAAAAAAAAGGACACATGTCTGAAATTAAAAACAACAGAAACATGACCCCACAATTGCTTCGGAATTTCATATGTCCCAAAGGGTGTAGCATTTGGG